CTAATTCATCAAGCAAAATAAAATATAGGTGTACTGTGCCTATAAACTATTGACCTTTAACTACAAAGGAACCATTAATAATATATCCAATCTACGTTCTTAAGGAATATATATTACAGTCTAGTATGCAATATTCATACATGAGAATCAACACAGATGAATTTGAGACGCTTCTACGTTGAGCCATTAAATTAGTCAAACGAATTAAATACTCAACACAGTTGTCCATAAGCGGAGTATAAAGAAGAATATTTAACGATATTATTTACTAAGTAGTCAAGATGCAAAAGTAGCTTGTGCATTCCGATCCTTGTATGCTAGGTTTTCATTGATCACAGGATAATCGTTTACCGCTCCGCACATGTGCGGTCACAAATTCTTATTGGTAAACACTTTTTATCAGTTTCCATAGTATGATAACTCGATTTGTTTTAACTGTATTTCATGACCCTATATCGATGATATTACAATTAGAGATGTATACACACGAAACTTAACCTACAAGAAATTTACTTTAAAAAAACGTTTCAATGTAAACTACGTATTATATGGAAATAGATCATACCCTATCAAAAATTTTAGTTGGTGGCGAGCCTGAATTAGGGACCGCCTAGGACTCGGACCGAACGTAAATCAGCTTCTCTATGCCCGCTCTTTGGTCTACATTCCGGCCCCCGAATCAGACAGCTACCAGAGCCTGGTGAGGGGACTGAGGGAATTCGGCCAACTCTTGCCCTACTCTCAGGAGACCATAAAGTCGGCCAGGAGGTTCTGACTAGTCGCTGATTTCGATCAGTTGGCCAACTGACCCAGATTAACTTTGCGCCGAGTGTAGGGACTATTCGGCCGAAGCCTAGGCGGTCCCCGAATTTTGTTAGGGTAAGTGATTCATATAAGAATTTTAGAAACAGGAATTCAAGAAGGAAAAATAAGTTCGCTGAAACAAACTCTTATGATTTACGGTGTAAAAATATCGTCTCGGGACACGCGAGTCAGAACTCAAGAACAACTCGGGCGTTCATTTGCATGTAGAACGAAGAGTATCAATGCGCCGACACGCGTCGGAAATTCCGACACGCGTCGCATGGTGCGCGCGGGAAATTCCTACGGCACGTTACATTGTTTGTTATTTAAAATTGCCGGCCAATGAATAATATCGCTGCTCCAGATGATATAATTGTAGAAAATAACGCTCTAGAATTCAGTTACGTGACAAACAATAAACAAGCATGAATAATAGTAATTAGAAGAACACTCAAAGAACTTACGCCCTTGATCAAGAAGAAGTATTGGCAAACCTGTCTGATTCAATGATAGTTCAAATGGATAGATATATCGATTAAAAGGTAAATAACTTCCTCATGGAGTTAAGAGTTATTCATTTTTGATTGAAGGAACATTTCGGGACCAACTCAGAATAAAATACAATTTTGATCCTATAACAACTAAATCCTTTTAAAAAAGGTTTCAGCGTAGTTATTTTTACATGAACCTACATATAACGGCATTAAATGCATATAAATAAATCAATAACTACACAATAACCACTGCCAGCAATATTTAATCTAGAAGTTAATTTGAATCTCATTTCGGAGGCTGAAATTGACAATACATGAATAATCTTGGGAAAATAATTCAATTTAACTTCTAGTAGTCTAACACGATTACTTTTTCAGTTTGAATATCGTTCATCACGTAACAATATTTAATTACAATTTCCACATCGTGTCACGAAAAATCATGCATCTCATTGCATCAGGAACGAATTAAATCCAGCTTACCTAGCTGTCCATCACAGCAGACGCTCCATCAAACTGTGAGCTAATAAACTCTGAGCTTTTTTAATTAACAGTTTTCACTAACCAGCATTTGCTTTCAATTAGCTCGTGTTAATGAGTTACCGTTTTAGGTTATTTGTCAGCATCGTCAGCATCGTCAGATCTAGTGTAGTGATGACAGCATCGTCAGCATCTAGTGTATAGTGATGACAGCATCGTCAGCATCTAGTGTAGTGATGACAGCACCGTCAGCATCTAGTGTAGTGATGACAGCATCGTCAGCATCTAGTGTAGTGATGACAGCACCGTCAGCATCTAGTGTAGTGATGACTTGAGTTAAAATAATAAACTTTTATATTCACTGTTCAGTACTTATCAATAAATATCCTTGAAGCAGAAGGACGCAGGTCAACTCATTGCTCAGTATAGGAAATCATTTCAACTAAAGTTAAAATCGGTTAATTTGAGACGGCAATATATTCATGGGATAAACACTGCGACAAAATTTATGTAATCACCTGCCACTAAATTATTCTCAAAATGATAAGTATGATTACAATTCATTTGCAGTAATAGAAACTCTTAACTGTGATTCAGATTCAACGTAACAAGCTGTCAACTAAGTACCTAATTAAGCTTCATAAATTGTTTACCTGTATACTCGGATACATTCTTTTCAGATTAGGTGTTACTATCATTGGCATAAGTAAGGATATTTTTCACAGATGATAAACTGCCAGCAATGTACTAAACTATAGAATAATAAAAAAAATATTAGATCACCTGTGATACTTACATAGGTACGAATATATATTCGCCATACAGATTATTTCCTGTACATATGATCTCTTCAGAATTTAAAATTTTCCTGGTAACTATAGAGAATAAAATTGTGAACTACATACATATATACGGTGAGTGTGGCAGATTACATAATAATGCATAAATAATTCAAAGATAATTGTTATTTCAGTGACTTTAAATATTTTCGTGAGTGATTTTCGATTACCGAAAGGAAACAGGTACTAGGGAGTAAAATTAGTAATATTAAATGATGAATATTATTTAATACAAGATTAGTAGCTATTGTCACTGAACGCCATACTCAAAACAGCGTTGTGGGTTCCATTCGTTCTCGAGTAGCGAGCGGCCATGCGGATTTAAAGGATCAGCGCTCTAACATTCTACATATTTCAATAGTCTGGGGCCGTTACAGGCGACATCCCTGTCGTCTATTGCCCGTCATCGCATCGTACGTCTTGGAGTCCTCGCAAGATTAATCGTGTAGAGAAAATACTTTCTTGATGCGTGTAACGTTGATACCGACGTATGACGTAGTATCCACTGCACTGTAGCTGACAATGTGCAAGTGTCGGCGTGGAGAAGACTGGGAGCCTCCGAATCAGCGATGGCAGTGCTCTGTTACTGCACCGCATGGACATCATGCTGATGCTAACCTACTCTGATACTGTTTTGAAATTTGATCATGATTTTACAAGAAAGGTTATAAGCTTAAATCACCCTTGAATGGCCTCTTTAGTGACCGTGCAAACGTCGTGTCGCTAAGACTACTTCGTAACTTCGTCATAGTTTGTCACCTTCGCAGAACATTCGCAGCTGATGCCACGAAGACAGAAAGTGCTTCCTGCATGGCGACGCAGGAGTAGAATTGATGGCGGGATCAAGACTTGGGATCAATAAACGACAGCGAAATATATCCTTTGCCGTCGCATCATTTGCCGTAAAATTCTCACTTTAAGATCTCCTTCCTCAAGTGGAAACGGGATCTTTGAGCGATCTTTGTTGACCATAAAAAGAATACTCAACGTAGGGCCGAGCGAACAGTCTAGTTCAGTGGACCTGTTTTGGACTGAATCGTCTTGTATTTGAAAGTCTGTTAATATTCAGCATGCCAGTAAAATGGCAAACCAATTAAAGCTCAGAGTACAGAGCTTGTAGTTTGGAAGCAGTAATAGATACTTAAGTAAAACTTGACGATTGTAATAAAGAAAGAAACTCATAATATTAGTGTAATGTACCAAAACCGATAGTTAGGTTAACTCTCTTCAGCACCACGTATTCAGGACACGAATGAGCTCGAATAACGATGACATTCATTTTTTAGACTGCATTTGACATGTGATTCGCTTCGAAAGTATGGCTCGTAAATTATTTTGATTATGTCAACCTAGGAAGCCATTGTGTAGCGATGAATAAATTCACCGCTCATAAATGCCTCAACGACAGATTCGTTAAAACGTTTTTATATCAAGCTATTCGAATGCATATAAAATTTCCGCAGTTATTTTCATCATATTAATTAAATTTTTTAATTTCCGCTGTAGTCAAGAGCTTCCAAGCAATTTTTTTAACAATCCTCCATTGGCCACTTCTTAGATTCGTCTGCCATCTCTTTGTTAGGTGGCTGCCGTATTTTCACCCTCTTTGTTTCATGCATGGAGGAATTTGCTTGCGAATGATATTGTTGGTCAATAAATTTCTTATTACGACCGCAGGTTGACAGCGGAGGCGGCCTTAAGAGTCACGCTTAAGCCCCTGCGAATAGAATCGCCGTAGCGATGACGGCCGAGTGGCGCGATAACAGTAAAAGAAATCCTGACCTAAGCCACACTGTAGTCAAGCAACACCTTTGCTAAGGCCACACCAGGCCTAAGCCACATCAGCCACTCCCAGGCCTAAACCAGGCAGGCCTAAGCCACTCTAAGGCCTAAACCACGCAGGCCACTCTAAGGCTTAAACCACGCTGGCCTAAGCCACTCTAATTAAGGCTTAAGCCACACCATCCGCCACGCCAGGATTGATCTTAATTATTGTTGATCGTCTTACCTGATATCTAACGGTCTGGTAATGGTGATGATTAATTACAAATTTGGCCTTACTGAGGATCAAAATACTCAAGTAATTCAATCGAAACATTTATCAGTGAATACTTCTCAGATTTTTTTTGTCGGTCATTGGGTTAAGCTAAATTTCATTGATCAGCGCTGTTAATTCAGTTGGACCGAGATTTGTTATGAGTAGATAATTTACAAGCTATTCATATTTAATACATTTTTTGCTACCAGTTATCATGGCTTGTTGAGTCTAAATTTCTTTCATATTAGTCCATATTAATAAATAGTTATTCACTGATGGAATCCATTAGCAGCAAGCATGCAGGTAATCTAGTGGAATTGAAGAGAATTATGATATTACGTTTTTATTTAAATTAGGAATTATTTGTAGTGTAAAATACAATTAATAAAGCACAGTTAAGACAGACTGCAAGCAAACATAATCATGCACATTAACGAATATAAAATACAGGTCGAAGACGAAACGGACATTTAACATGGTAATCGGGTATTCAATTCTTCATAATGCCAAGGTAATCATTTTTAAACTTTCGCTAAGTGCGAAACATTATATATTTTATATAACGCAAAATATATTTTATAAATTCCATAACCGTGATAACGCAATTAGCAATTCAATGCAGTCATTTGCACAGAGTTCATCCTTATTTACTAATTTTTTTTATACTGGATCCCATTCACTTTTTACCATGGAACAAACAAAATTCATTAAAGAATATTCTACTGCGTTTTAAACATTCGCGCTAATAATTTCTTATGCGTTAATTTAATCTCTTATCTCATCTAATCTGTGCTCGCCATAAGAAGGGCAATTCTTGATTTAGAGAGCGATCAATACAACATGCAGAATTGAAATAGCTTGGCATGAATATATTTTAGTAAGGACAATGTCTCTTCCTCTGCAAATAAACTATTAATGTTAATTTTTCAGTTCATTCTAGAATATTGTTGAAACAAACTTAGAGCTGTGTTGGAGGGACAATATTTTCGACGACTAAGCTCTCCTCCTGTTCAGCTGTTTTAGCAAGCACCTTGCGTAACAACTTGCCCGAGGGATTCTTAGGCAAGTCTGTTACAAATTTTATCCCTCCGAGAAGCTGTTTGTAGGGAGCCAGATGTTCCTTCATGTAGTTATTAATTTCATTCTCGGTTACAGAAGATCCTTTGCTGCTGATTATGTAAGCACGAGGAACTTCGCCATAGTCTTCGTGAGGAATGCCGGTCACTCCTGCATCGGCTATGGCAGGATGCTTCAGTAGCACGTTTTCTATCTCGGATGGTGACACCTTTGGAATCAAAGCAACCATCAATGTTATTTCTCGTTGAACTGAATCATCACACTTACTCCACGAACAAGAGTCATGCATATTTTAACTATTCACATTTTTCGCTTTTGTATATTCACATGTTTCCTTTTTTTCTTTTTAATGACGATCATAACAAACATAACATAGGAACATCGGTGTCGAAGAATAGGCTACGCGTGCCTGTTGCCTCGTGACTTGTCTCTTGGATATCTGTGGACTGTAATTTTGACCACATCTATGGGAAACTGACGTAGGAGCTAAGTATAGCAGCTGAACATTACGGATGATGAATTTCTCGAAACTTTAACGGTAAATTGATTTTTGAGAGTCAATTTAATCAAGCAGTCATTATTCACTCATTAAGTCATCTTTAAATGACTTTGACTCCAGAAACTCTCGATGTGATGAGTCGAATGAATAAATGATATAGATGCCCAACTGTAAACCGACTTTTTTTTAAATACAGTAGGTTTTTCATGTAGACTTTGCGACGCGAGCGCAATAATGTTAGTGTTGTGGTGCACAGGGTTTGAACTGGAGGACATAGTGTGAACATTTTAGAGTTTTTGAATAGCCGGTGCTGATTTAGAAAGTGTATGGCAGGTAGATTAGTTGGTTGAATGCTGTAGGTCATATGATTCAATGCCTGGACCAGATACTTTGGGCTTGTTGGTGGAGGACTATTACAATGACCAGGATGTCGCATTGTTCACGTAGCATGCATCTGAAAATACACCAAGTTTGACGGTGTGTATTTGGAATGAAACTTAATTCTTGTTTTTAGACTTTGGAGATATCCGTTATAGAAAATCTCTGAATATGTTTTTTTCGATTGGGTGCGTTAGTGAAAGATTTAAACTAGACCATCTTGCAAGATCGAGACATAGGGCGCGTTTGATGTAGGCAGGAGGTTTTGAAATCTGTATTTTGTGTAAATTTGAGGCGGCTGTCCTTCTACTAGCTGTAGTTTAAGAGCTACAAGTGAGATTCGAGCCTAATTCTGTAACATTGTTTACGGTGATGGTGAGGAACGTTATTCATGAATGTGTTTGAAGTTTTTGGAATTCAAATAGGAAAGTTTTTAAATTTGTTGGTGCTAGTGATATTCAGTCATTTGTTTTCGAGTGTGTTTACCTACTGGATTGCGTACTGTACTTGTAATGTTATATGGCTGTGTGGGTATCGTCCCGCTGTTGTTTGTGCCATGTTGGAGGAAAACATTATGCCTTACATGTATTGGGAAATGAAGATAGAACTAAATAAACTGAGCTCTCTGCGAGAGATTCATTGAAATCTCACTAGACGCCACTTTGCCTCTATAGAATTTGCTTTTATAGTGGTTAAGGAAATAAATTCTCACTTTTTAAGTGTCCTTAAATTCCATCAAGCCTGGAATAATTACTCAGTACCCCACCTGGAATCCCTTGACTTTAATAAGTTCCTTAATTCTGTCGACTATGGAAAAGAAACCGTCCTCGTCGTGAACTGCTACGTCGCCGGTGTGTAACCATCCATCTTCGTCGATGGTTTCTCGAGTCGCATCTGGACGGTTGTGATACCCTTTCATCATCTGGAGGATAGGTTGGGTCAAATTAGATGATTTTTGAGACTAGAAGTACCTGTACGAATATAATTCTGAATTTATCGGAATCTTCCGTATAAATATTAAGTGAGAGTTAAAGAAATATTTAGTGTACACTTCAGGCATCATATGGTTACTGCTTCCAGAAACAATATTATGAACTAATAGTTAATAATAGTCAGCAAAATATTCATACATTGAATTCAAGCTGCCAAAATGAGTTTTCATGCAGTCATTTGATCGTATTTTTTTCACGGCATACTAGTATGGCATACGTCCGGCATATTAATTTGTGCGTCTCAAGTTCACAACTTTCAAACACTAAATCCGATACGACAAAACAAAGCCGCCAGGTGTTTTTTAGTAAGGATTTACTCACACATGGTGTCTTCAAGCACAGTTCCCCATTTCCATTAGGAGGCAATGCAGCGCCAGTGTCCATATCAACTATTTTGGCTTGCACGCGCGGCAACAGTTTGCCACATCGGCCTAATTTTCTGTCGATTCTGGGGGTCCCGTGAGTTATTATGCATTCCGTCATACCAAACCCTGCAACGAATATTTTTATGAGGCTCAGTAGAAAATATGGCACTGGTTTAACAGAGTCAGATGTCATCCCGTATCATTAGAGGCACTGTGAGATCACTAACTAATGTCCTGTAGATATGTATTTTGGTGTTCATCATTCTTGTGGATCACTTTAGTAGAATATCACGCATCAATGAAGTATGTGCGGTAATATTTTATGAATGAGCAACATGCACTGACTTGCCTTCATAGAGGTCAGTACCGTCGCCGAATTTGTTGGTAAATTTTTCTTTAGAAGAAGTGGACAAGGGAGCCCCGCCACAGCCTACTGTATGACAGCTCTGCAGGAACTCACGCTTCACGTCGTTGCTCTCGTTGAGGAACTTCAGGAGGGGTGGAGCCAGGTTCATCACTGTCAACTAAAAAAAGCATTAAATTCGCCTTGGAAATTATTGCGTTCTGCAGCAAGTGATTCTCTGTGGCGCACAGAACTTCTGACCAAGACAAGCGTTGTCCACTAACGTATAGGGATATAAAATAAATGTGTATAGGCTCATGCCAAAAAAAAGTCATTATTAAAACAAACTACCAGGTGACGCGTTTACTTACAAAATATAGTTTGGTTCTAGCATTACATGGGATTTTTTATAGCCTTATTAATTATGACACTTCTTTTCATTTAGTCTTGGAAGTTCATTGTCTATTTACAACATAGAATGATGAGTGCAGCGGTTAAAAATGACTGAAATTTACGAATTACAGGAAGTATATAATGATCCTGAGAAAAGTGGGGTATTATTAATAATATTGACGGAGGCAAACGAATGATGAAGTAAAACGGAGAAAGTTACTAAATAAGAACACTTGGCGGAAAGTTAGGAAGAAACATTAGTAAAGAAGATCTTGGAACCCGAGATTGCCTTGTGTTCCTGTAATGCGCGGATGAAGCTGGATGGCTGGAATCTGGGCAGCGTGACGACTGTGCTGGAGATCTTCAGACCCTTGAGCATGATGCTGACAATCCCGTAGATGTGGTAGAATGGTATCAACCCTAGTAACCTGGCTGCCACGTCTACCAATGCAAACAAAATCATTTTCAAGTACATCTTGGATTTGATATAAATTCTGAATATTGGGAAATTTTTATTTCATTTTGTATTTTTTCGATTAATGAAATGATACAAAATGACATTGAGATGTAAGGTATTGTTACATTTTAGGCTGAAATGCAAACACGTTTTTTGAATACGTATGACAGTAATTGGAATTTCATTCCTTGAAGGTTTTGATAATTTGATATCATTTAATATCAATTCCCTTTAATATGCCGCCGAATTATAACAATCTCACTATCTTGAATGAACTTAATTGGAAACGATATTTATTGAAACGAGAATAAAACAACGCTATATGGAACAGAATTTGAAAGTCATCGTAATGACTGTTAAAAAAATTCTTAATAAATATGTAATTACACCAGCCTAATGATACTTAATCAGTTCATTTATGTCCGATTCTGATATATGAAAGCATTTCACTGCGTCTGCTGGAAAGTACTATAAGACTGACCCTCGTTCGTACGAGGAATAACAACTCGATGGATTAAACAGGATTAACAATTTACATGATAGAATAGCTAAAAATACTCCCTCTATGCAAATTACGTTGGAACAACGTTAATTACGAGCTGATTTTAATGAAACCACAGGTAGGTAAGGTGAAGTAAAATACTGTGGTAAAGTACTACCTGTGTACACAGGTAGTACTTCACCACAGGTGAAGGTAAGTACTATAAGACTGACCCTCGTTTGTATGAGGATTAAAAAAAAACTCGATGGATTAAACAGGATTAACAATTGACATGATAGCGTAACTAAAAATACTCCCTCCACGCTAATTACGTTGGAACAACGTTAATTACGAGCTGATTTTAATAAAACCACGTTAAATATTAACGTTGTTTCAGCGCGAGATGCCTGGTGCGAAGCTCCTACTGAATTGGTCATGGTATTCAATTGATTCTACGTATCATGATCAAGGACAGAATGAAAGTGCGCCGCGAAATTATTTCATATCATTTCCTTGTACGTACTGGGGGCGATCATTCAGTGATAGTATAGCTAGAAATACTTTAATTGAATTTCTTTGTACGTACCAGAGTAATTCATTTAATGAGTGTAGCAAGGAATTTCCTGGTTTTACCCAGGATCGATCACTTAATGAGAGTGTAGCTAGAAATACTTTAACCGAATTTCCTACTACTCAACGGGGTCGACCATTTGATGATAGTTCAGCAAAAAATACTTCAACAGAATTTCCTGGTAAGCAATGGGATTGACCAGTTAAAGATAGTGTAGCTCAAAACATTTTACTGAATTTCCTGGTACCCACCAGGGTCTATCGGCCAGTGGAAGTGAGGGCTGCACAACATTTCACAGCAAGCGGTGGCTGCGCTGTGTGTCACGCAGACGCCCTTAGGCTGCCCCGTCGTACCACTCGAGTACGCCAGAAGTGCAACGCTGCTGGGGTCAACCTTCAGCGGGAAAAAATCTATAGTCAAACCTTAAGATCCCTCATCAGGTAACACGTAATCAGAGTTCGATTAAGGTCACCGGCCAACGGCTATTCTGAAAGCACCACCTTCGACGGCTGCCAAACGAGCGCCGCAACACTGAGAAATGTACCGAGCTTCCCAAGGCTAGCTTCAGTCATCTTGATGTTACTACCACTGCGCTACGGTGGTTGCTTCAGAATGGTTGTACTCTCATTTAATATGTTTTTACAGCAGATTTACATATTTCTCAGAATTCTGTTTAAAAAACTACTCATAGGGATGAAGATTAATGGATAATCTTTTCATTTACAATTTTCGTTCAATATCAGTAAATAAATGATAGATATTTTTTGTATTTGCCAATTACATGAATGATGATAGACATAAACCACTAGGTATGCCGAATAGCCTATAATATTGATGTTGACCGCAGTCTTCAGTAAACAAACAAATAACCGTGGTGTGCTAAAAAATATTCCAATTAAATGCTCGACATATTTCGTGAATTACTTTTTTACACAGCATCTTAAAAATGAATGGAAAAATACACGCTACAACACAAAAACTGACAAAAAATGAGTATCAATGAGTTCGGTAACGACGGATACAAAACATCAAGGCACATACTGGCCTCAACAACGAGGCCTCTATCAAACAAATGATTTATCTTGTATTTATATCAAATATGACGCAGGATTTACATCAACGTGCTTCGCAAAGGGTGCAGTGGAGTCCTCCAGCATTGCCCTGAGGTCAGAGTTGCCGGACTTGGAGTCGCCGAGCAGGAACAGGGCGGGAGGAGGCATGCCACGGGCGCTCAGCAGACCGATGGACTTCAGAGCGACGGCCTCCAGCGCTGCCTCTACCACCAGCAAACTGGCGCCGCTGTCAGCCAGCTGTACAGCCACCTCCTCTGTGCGAATATTTAATTCTTTTATGTTTTTTAGGAATAAATTAGTATAAGAGTATTGACAATTGTAACATATTTATTAAAATAATTATTAGTAAGATATTTATTAAAATAGATATTAGTAAAATGTTTATATTTTTATTTGTGATCAGATATCTTAAAGAAATCCGCACAATTTTTTCAAGAGATTTAGTCTCCAATAAGCGTCTTTTTTCAAATCTCACCTCATTGAGCGATCATTAAACAAACTTGTTATCAATTATATTATCAACTTCTATTGCGCGAATTATACGTGTATTTTTCAATGTACTAATTGAGAATTTGTGTAAATACTGGACCAAAGTAGGATTATTTCAGATTTTCGAAATCTGAAGACCATTTTGAGTGATTCAATGTTAAAATACAATATAAATTGAATGTTACTTTTATAAAATTCATGTTGCAACAATGTTCACTTTGATCTAGTCATTGCGGAATAATTATTGAAGTAATAATTATTTAATCAGAAAGTATTAGAACTCAATTAAAAATGGTGCAACAAGCATAACATTAATGTACGATGTAGTAAATAAATGTGAAGTTATTAGCGAGCAGAGGCTGGAGCTTAGATGAAAATTTATGATGAGCACAGCCCAGGAAAATTTTTTTTCACTTATTGCATAACAATTTTCAGCAAAAATTACCTTAAGAACTTTTTTATAAGCTGAGGCTGTTGATGTTTAGAGGAAGGTACCTGCTGTGTAGCTGTTGCTGTGGGGGTACCTGCTGTGTAGCTGTTGCTGTGGGGGTACCTGCAGTGTAGCTGGGGCTGTGGGGGTACCTGCTGTGTAGCTGGAGTTGTGTGGGTACCAGCTGTGTAGCTGGGGTTGTGTGGGTACCTGCTGTGTAGCTGGGGTTGTGGGGGTACCTGCTGTGTAGCTGGGGTTGTGAGGGTACCTGCTGTGTAGCTGGAGTTGTGTAGGTACCTGCTGTGTAGCTGGGGTTGTGTGGGTACCTGCTGTGTAGCTGGAGTTGTGTGGGTACCTGCTGTGTAGCTGGGGTTGTGTGGGTACCTGCTGTGTAGCTGGGGTTGTGTGGGTACTTGCTGTGTAGCTGGGGTTGTGAGGGTACCTGCTGTGTAGCTGGGGTTGTGTAGGGTACCTGCTGTGTAGCTGGGGTTGTGTAGGGTACCTGCTGTGTAGCTGGGGTTGTAGGGGTACCTGCTGTGTAGCTGGGGTTGAGCGGGGTCACGACCCCACCCACGAGGGTCGTGCCGAAGAAGATGATGGGGTAGTCGGGGCAGTTGCGCATGAAGATCCCCACGGTGGGGGGCGGTGACCCTGGGGACCACCTCTCTTGTACCACGGCCCCCCAGCGCTGGATGCCGTCTATAAGGCGGCCGTAGGTGAGCACGCGGCCCGTGATACCATCTATCTGCAAGTCACCCTTAATTAGATGTGACTCTGTCATTAAATACTTAGACGAATGAATAAAGTGGCAATTTTTTAAGACAGCGTGTTTGATGTGCTACGTCTTCTTATGCAGTCTATCTGCAGGTTACCCTTAATTATATGCGACTCTGTCATTAAATACTTAGATGAATGAATAATGTGACAGTTATTTAAGACAGTTGTGGAAAATTACAACGTTTGTTCAATTAGTTCAAAAGACACTTATTTATCTAAGTTCATCACTGGTTGTCAACACACGACATTGTCTTGATCGTATTTACCACATTCGCCCACATATACTTATTATAAGCCGCTCACCATTACACTTCAAATATAATTATCAATAATGTGGCAGTTATTTAATATAGTTGTGTTTGAGGTGCTGCGTCTTCTTATGCCGTCTATCTGCAAGTCACCCTTAATTAGATGTGACTCTGTCATTAAATACTTAGACAAATGAATAAAGTGGCAATTGTTTAGGACAGCATGTTTGAGGTGCTGCGTCTTGTTGTGCGGTCTCCCTTTTAAATGTGACTTAATCACAACAAGATTTTAGGAGATGAAAAATGTTAGTATCTGGAATGTTTTTTTTTTAATTATTGAATTATTTGTATTGTTATTTGTATGAATGATGATGCCGTGTGATTCAAACAACTGAAATACGTTATTATGTATCGGTTATTGAAACTATATAGGTAGTAAACACGATCCAAAATGTCAAAGACGGGGTTCGAGTGTGTTGTTGTGTTAGAAACCTGGTACCAAGTATGAGCATTTTAGGTATAGTTAAATGGCTTTAATGTAATTTTTTACTGCATGATGAAGGAGCCTTCCATTAAGACTAAATGATCTGTCTGTACATTTTTTACGTGAAGGAGAGTTTCATGCAGATTAATTATGGCCATTCAGCAATTTTTTTCAATGACGAGCATTTGTGCAGTTGAAATATGGCCTTTTTGCCAAATTTCCTACATAAAGGAGACTCTCATATTGTTGAATTTGGCCTCTTTATAAAATTTCCTACATAAAGGAGACTCTTATATTGTAGAATTTGGCCTCTTTGCAAAATTCCCTGCATAAAAGAGACTCTTATATCGATGGAATATGAGCTTTTAGTGAATTTTTCTACATGTAAGAGTTTAACGTGGTGATGTGCTCACGAGAGCGGGGCGGTTGGTGTGGCGGCCACAGGACGACAGCAGAAATTGCGATACTCCAGCTTCCGGCAGCGGAGTGTCCGGGTAATGTGAGCGTAGCACCAAATGCTCAGGATCTCTGCGAAGTAAATAGTAGGAAACATTAATAAAAAATGTTACTCAGTCCTCACTGCAGTGAGTGACAGAGAGCGCATTTTCTCAAAATCGATGAAAACGTGAAGTCACAGACAGACAGACAGACAGACGGACGGACGGACGGAAAGACGGACGGACAGACGGACGGACATGACGAGCGCAATAGCGCCTTTTTTCCATATATGAGAAACTGCGCTAAAAATTATGTTACACTTGAGTATGAATACCGTGAAAATTGAGGGTTCATATGCAAAAAAATGAAAAATAGCTGACAAAATTGTTTCGATGGATCAAAACTCGTTTGATTACAACGCTTCTCTGGTGCTTTTGAAATAAAGTGCAGAAATATACAATTCAGTGATATAAGAAGAGAAAAATAATTCATCGTATAGCCTCATTAATATTTTATGCATTATAAGTAACGTAATCATTCCAGCCGTTGCTTCTCGCGTGTATCTCATGTCTGACGTCGGCAGCTGTTGCCCATGTATGTATCAGATAGTTTTTGATTAGGTTCTGTGGTCTCATGATTGCCTTTTTAATATCGATTTGTTTTTTTTTTGGCTTAAATTCGACTTTATTTGCTCTTTCTATCGTTATTTATTTGCTCATGACATATCCTCTGTTTGGCTGGGAGCCTGGAATAAATTTTTTAAATCGCAAAGGTTGATGTGGATAAAACTGAGATAAAAAATTTTTGCTTGTTGGTGGTGAGTAAACGATTTTTTATATAGTCAGAGTCCTAGGCATCTCTCAATTCAACATCAGGTTATTCGAACATCTAAGTGACTCGAAGTAAGATGTTTTAGTTTAGTAGCTAGTAAGTAGAAGTTAAGCAAAAGTAATTAAAATATACTTTTATTCATAATAAAGGAAGAATATATTTTATTACGTCTATTAGTACCTCTAAGGATATGCAAATATTTTTTATCAATCAAATTTTTTCGAGTTAATAGCATATTAACAGCGAAATAATTATTAGAATAAAAAGATAGAACTCAATAATTTTTTAGCGGATTAATAATGTGGCAGTTATTTAAAAAAGTTGTGATTGAGGTATGTCGTTCGAACATCAGTACCGTATCCCCTGCTAGAACCTGCGTTAGTTACTACGAGCCTGTTATTACTGTTTTCATTGGAACACGGCAAACTGAAAATTAAAATATGAAGAATAATATTCGACTTAGAGATAATTTAGTCATTTTAGTGCTATTTGCTGCATGTTCTCACCCCGCAGCTCCTGAACGCAGGGCAGAGAACGAGCAGACGGAGCGACGGTTACTGCACAGCCATCGTCTCAGTAACGGACGCGGTGTCGCGCTAAAGATTCTGTTCATGACGACATTAAAACCTCAACGACGTCTTTGTCGAGTTTTTTTTCTGAATTTACGATTCAGATGCCGTCTGTAAAAAGATATAATCACGCTATTTAATTGAATTTATCAAAGCTGCAGTTACTCGAAAGGGAAAGTATAAGTGCATTCTACAATATCGTATATATGGAGGAGTTGACGGCCGTGAAGTTCCAAGTAGATTAATTATTATGCATGAACATCAAAGATACGTTCAATTCAACGCTCGAGTTTTTTTTTTGCAGGGATTTGATTGTTAACAGGGAAGCTCTAGAAACACAAAAGATTTACGAAATTAAAATAATTGAACATTTCTATCTTAATTCAGTGGCTCCCAAACGGTTCGAAATCAAGTACCACTGGAACGTCTGTATACAGGCGCCGGGTGCCTCCAGGTGGCACCACATTACAAAAAAAGTTATAAATAAAACATATCAACCGCCTATGTAAAGAGCAATAGCAGAATTTTCGTTAACATATGCTTTAATAATCAATGCCCCAGGTAGGAGGACAGGTTTCATTTAATGGTGTATCGCGCGAAACTTGTCGGTGGGCTGTGATAATTATTTAAAAATTATTGCCTGATGCAAAGTACGTGGCTTGAAATTTTTGTATATAAAATTAACTAAATAAAAATTTTGCGTTACCCACAATGTCACCAAACCTGAGTTAACAGGCTTTACCGGACGCTTTTCAACATTCAATGCTTGTCATATAAAAGTGTGATGCTAGAAATAAATGAAACGTACGTTTCAACGATAGAAAATTTAGTCTACCCACGAAACAAAAAAAAATGTTGGAAACCGGGCATGACGCACAGTTCCTTGTATTAGGGGGAATGTTCCCCTAAAATTAGGGAAATGCGCGATTTTTAATATTAGTTGATGTTCGAGTCTTCTAGTATTAGGGTAAGTGGGCATCCACTAAAATCAGGGGTGGAGCGCTATATGATTCTCACAGCATTTTAGGCAGCAGCATGCGCAAGAGAAGCGACCAGTTACTGGCTGATGTTCAGAGACTGGATGCGAGTGTGTGACTGCATGGTTACTTGCTATTATTAAGGAGGCTGCAAGTAATTAGTAGGTTACTTGTTGCAAGAGTGTGACCAACAATTAAATTTGTTTTAATAAAAGCATACTTTCTATATGAATAAAGCTCATATTAAAATTACCTTAGGAAGTTTGATGTTTTGGGTTCAACACCGTATTAGTCTCTTATGATCATAACCACTGCCGTTATGTATTAGCAGTTCACTGCCACGTACATTACTGACTTTAAATCCGTTTTATCATTGTTTCTTTCGCTAGTTATATTTGCTTTGTGTTATGTTAATTAGTATTTGATGTCAATTACTCTCATTTCAGGTAACTGGATATTCGTTTGAAAAAGCTTGGATTGCAAAGTCTCCATTATTTTACTACAAACAGCAAGTTGTTAGTAGTTTACTAGCTGCAAGTATATGACCTATACTACTAACTACATGAAGTTAGTAGGTTACTTACTTGCAGCGAGTGTGTGATCGACAATTAACTGCAAGTAGATAGTAGATTACTTGCTGCATTTCAGTGACCGGCTCCTACCTGCAAGAAGTTTTCAGGCTTCTGGCTGCAAGTATAAAATGCTACTATAAACGCATGTGTGACATGTAACTCGTGCGCGAGTGTAAAGGTAACCGACATTAAATGTGAGTTGCACTATCTTGGCCGAGTGCTTGGCGCTTGAGATTAGATCTAAGCAACTGTTGTTTACAGCGCCTAAATATAAGAATGTTTGTAATGCTCCTCTTCTGTAAACGAGGCAGTGACATTATCAGGCAATTGGGGAGAGAGATAATCGTTCATGTGATTTGGATTATGAAGCTCTATTGTATAATTCATATTGTTTTATTACTCTATGTTTGAAGGCTGTTAAAATTTATTATCTCGGAATAAGCGAAATAATAAGTAGAGTTGAAAGTGTCACATGTCAATAGTGTGAATCATAAACTAGAGTTTTACGAGTAATGCTGCTACAGGGGTAATATATTGACTGCATGACTGCATATATTGCGCTGCATATGCGGGGTAATATATTGACATATTCATTATGCCTCATGTTGGATTTCCATACTTCTTCCCTTAAGACTCCGTGGCAGTTTACTCTAAGTATTTTTGCAGTTTTAATTCTTACACTTATATGTACGCCACATAAACACTGATCTACATTTGTATGTCGCTTACGCTATAGGCTCCACACGGAAGTCGCGAGTAAGGTTCAAATGGCTGTGCTAGGTCATTAAGAGCCACGCTGGATCAAGTGGACAGAAAAATGCGTTTATTTCAAATAATTGCTAAATTGAAACGAAGGAGTTATTCAGACCCAGTTACTTTTTTTGTGTGTGAGTAGAGATTTTCGCTTCAACGTGACACCGAACACCTATCAAACACCGGTCTGATTATCCTTGTTTTCTTTTGGTCTCTTTTAGCCAATATTATTTTTGTTACGCTAAAATCTTGCTGGAAGTATTCAATTCTTTACACAATCTAATTCACCGACTATGCTGCATGTCACCGACTATGCTGCATGTCACCGACTATGCTGCATGTCACCGACTTTGCTGCATGTCACCGACTATGCTGCATGTCACCGACTACGTTGCATGTCACCGACTATGCTGCATGTCACCGACTATGTTGCATGTCACCGACTTTGCTGCATGACACCGACTATGCTGCATGCCACCGACTATGCTGCATGTCACCGACTATGCTGCATGCCACCGACTATGCTGCAATTCGAAATATTGAGCTGCTAAATAATATTACATTTTAAGTATGCCATATAATTAAAATATATGAAGATATACTATATATATATATGATGATATGCTATATAAACAGTAAACATATTCAAAATAACAAACGCCGTGAGAAACAGCTTGATAAAGTTTCTGAGAAATGGTCAGTATCATCAGAAGTGATTTATTGCAGCGCAAGTTGCTTTAGCCACAAGCCTGATTCGTCAAAGCCGACACAAAAGTCGTAGCAAGCGTTTTCCTAATTAACACGTAATGAAAGTATAGGATCATCCACATGAACTTTCAAATGATACAAAAGAAAATACGGTGGCGGTAGCATATGTGTAATTAAAACAGTTCGTCCTGTGCAAATTAGTAATTCGTGTTGTTCCGAGAAAAACTATCAAGCTAATGTTGAAATTTAACGTACACGGCGGTTGCAGTCCTGAAATGTGGTACTAGCTAGTTAGAGTACCACAAGAAGAAATGTTACGAAAACTGTTTTAAAAGTAGCACGTAAACACAAGAGAAAGTATGCACGCCTTGTGCTAGAGCTGACGTAGAAAGCTCACTGTCTTTGCTTGCCAGTTAACTGTCACCTGTGAGCGCTATTATCTGTCATTTATCTTCGAGGTCACAGTCAAGCATTGCATAACATAGATATGACTCTTTTCGCATCACTCATGTCTCTTATCATCTATTCCAGGGATCTCATCATCAGAAGTGGCCGATTCTTTCTGAATTAATCGATTTATATATAATAAATAATGATCTAATAGTGATCAGAAAAACTTGGATGCCATAAGACGACAACTTTGTTTTACAAAATACCTTAAATTCCCGTCAATCGATCACTTCCACTCCCGATCTCCTATTTTGTCCAGCGAACAGATTATGCCTCGCGTTGTAAGAACACTTCAGAATTAGACCAGCCAGCTCCAAGAAAGAAGCGACTATGGATAAAGATCGTCATGCAGCGCAGTCGCGAAATATTTGAAGACCAATCAGCTAGACTATACATATCAAATTTTCTTTAATAATGAAGAGTTTACCGCATAACCTGCCATCTCTTGAAATTTGCGATCTTTTGATCATTGGATGTGATTTGGATTTGATTATAGATACCGTTGGAATATTTCTTCCAGATTGTTTTTTCGAAAAATATGTGGCAAGTTATGTATGCAGCCAGGAGAAGGCAAACGATTTTATGCCTATTGGAGTCATGCACATCCAAAAACAAAACCTTTTTCTACATGTATAATAACATGATATTTTTCACTTCATGTGTTACTTCAGGATTATTGGTTTATGAAAAAAATTTATGACGCGACGAGAAGACGAAACGATTTATGCAGAAAGGCAATATGATGGAAGTTCTGTGAATATTTAATTCTGACTGACAAAATCAGAGGTGATCATGACTGCCAATGCTTGCCTCTCTGTAAAACCCTACCGACTATAGTGACTTACACTATGATGTTGCAATATAGCATCATACTGTAATTACCTACATACATTACTTATATATTCGTAGAGTAAGCATTGAATTTATTCGATTATCAATATTTATTTTGCATTGATGTATAAGCAGCAACGCTGGAAATAAAATTGTAGAAATCACTGCTGCATGTGAGTTTTAGTAAGTGCTTGCAGTATTTGTGACTGCGATTATATGTGACTTGAGTGCGACTTTGACTTTCGAACTATGCTTGTGAAAATGTAATATAATCTCTGAATCCTAGGGTTGAAATCGCTGGTTTGGTAATATTGTTTTTTAGAATCATTTAACTTTCAGAATCATTGATCGCGAATTCAGAATAGGAGTGCAATCTTAATTTATATTTGAATCTGGCTTCTCGGCTGCTCGCGATTCTTGGATACGCATCACACGTAAGGTTGATTGTTTCCTGTTGAATTCACATTCTTCTAATCCTAATTAAAAACATAAACTAATTAATACCTGTTAAGAGAAACCGTGGAAAGAATTCATATTTTTAGCGCATCTTCTAATTTATGAAAATGCACTATTGTGCTCGTCATGTCCGTCTGTCCGTCTGTCTTTCCGTTCCTTACTTCACGTTTTCGTCGAAGAGAAAATGCGCTCTCTGTCACTCACTGCAGTGAGTACTGAGTTATATTTTTTATAGTTACAAAAGTCTCTCAATACTGCCTGCGAAGGGAATGTTGATAACTGTACTCATTTCAAAAATTCTTCAATTATGTCATTATCTCATACGCTGCCTCGAGTCTATAGGCCTTAAGGAATTAACTAAATAACACGATCCACTTCAAGCAAATAACATTGAAGCGAAGTTGATCACTAGTTGGTTTCGTTGTAACATCGTTTTATCAACGTTTTTTTACGTCAGATGTCTGGTGAGTAGATCATGACGAGACGCACTCGTCCGGAACATTATCGCACCAGCATCATCATGCTTGGCCTAGACTCATTACGACTGGCGGTAACCGAGGCGCTTATCTAGGACGAGAATCTTTGTTTAAAAAATGAACTACGAATAGTATGCACTTTAGTGAAAACGTACAAGGAATAATACGCACTACTGTCACACACGAGCTAAGAACCACCTGGGCTACTGTCAAATACGCGGACTACGATCAACCCAAACAACTGTCCAATTCAGTTCGACAAATAAAAATAACAAAGACGAAAATCTGCCTTCTAAACTGTAGATAAACATGAATACGTGTGTGTTCGAATGTGTACAATCAGATGAAACGTACCTTGTGGGACCTCCCGTATAATATGCTCTGTTGCCTTTTTGCCCTACAGACATTTTAGTTTCGCTAAAACAGAGTGACCAGCATTGTGATGTTAGCTGTGAGGGCGACATAAGCAATCGAGGAGCTATAGATGATTCAAAATGGAAGATTTTCAGTTTCGAAGATGCTCAATCTAGAATAATGTTTTTCGTCTAGAAAAATTGTTAATTCTGCTCTTGATCTGATTATATTGTAAAATAATTTTAATTGTTTGAAAGCTTGTACTCTGACGGGCTAATGGTTCAGAAAGTCATAATTGAACGCTTGAGATAATAATTGAAACTTGCTTAAAATTTTCGGCCATAACTTATAAATAACATGTATGTATAAGTGATCATGAGTAATGAACAGTCTTATTCATTGCTTCAACCTTGCCATCAGAGGAATGTAATTATTACCATATTGCCAGTTGTCGACACAAGACAACTGGCATGAATGGCAACAACCACATGAATGAACATTTATCAATAACCTTCTTTTAAAAGGGCAGCCACTTAATTGGGGAGCCATATGGAGATCGTATAATTAATTGAAGGTGTCACAAAAATCTCGTTTTCTCTTGACCTGATAATGTTCTTTAATGTTATTATTATGTTACTTAATTATCATTATATTATAGTCATATTAATTAATAACATTATTATCATAATGTTATTATTAAGTTACTGACGTAGGAAGAAGTCACAAAACCGCACATGTTACCGTGCGCTTTGCAAACACCGTGGCTCTTATCAAATCTACTATAGTTTTGTTGACGTAAGCTACTTTGTCCTGAGATGACTTCATAGGTGGAATACAAATATTTCATGTCGCATTGGAGGAGGACGTTCAGCAGCTGCTGCATGATTATCATGAATTCTGAAAAACATTTTAAAAATCAAAAATATATCATGTTTCAATATCTGACATTTTTTACTATAATATATCCACAGATCTGTGAACTACATTAGCACAACCTCAATTTTGGAGAGCTGCAAAAAGCAGACGTTTTTAAAACAACATATCGGATACCTCTTGCCAACACCGGATCACTTGTAGCTTTAAGGCTTTATTCAAATATTGAATCCTTTCACTTTACCAATTCTGACTAACGTCTTTCGTAATGTAATTCTTATTCACATGAAAAACAAAATTAATTTATTGATCAGTGATCAGGCGAGCAGCGCGTTTATATGAACAGCCGTGCTTGTTTATTGAGCTCTTTATGAAACAAGTACGACGCCTATGATGCCGCTGCTACTCCAGAAATAAAAAGCTCGCATGTTTACGGTAATTTTCGCCCCTGCTCCTCTCAACGACTGCATTCTTTTGCGCTGTGCCAGAGAAATGATCTCAATTCCGAGCGCCGGCCCGCTCCCTGCCATGAGAAATTGCCTGCTTTCGGACGGCAAATAATTTGCTAGTTCAACATCAATTGGGAGTCAGTATAGTTGATAATAAAAGAATAGTTAACCTATAACAATTTCAAGAGTTATTAATAATAAAAAATAATAATATTCTTTTTATGGACAAAGCGCACTACTGCACAGCACCGCACAATGATGAGCATGTAATGTGGAGGGATGACTAATACTGCATGCGCAGTACTGTGCAATTAAGAGTAGCACAATAACTAATACAGAGAAGTACCTTGTAATAATGATTAGTACTGTGAAGTACTGCGCAATAATAAGTAGTACTGCGTAATAATAATAGTACTGCGCAAAAATAAGTAGTACTGCGCAATAATAAGTAGTACTGCGCAATAATAAGTAGTACTGCGCAATAATAAGTAGTACTGCGCAATAATAAGTAGTACTGCGCAATAATAAGTAGTACCGCGCATTTATGCAAGGGTGCGGACATGCTTATTACAAATGCCTCTCGTGTCGACCAACTGCGCAATAATAAGTAGTACTGCGCAATAATAAGTAGTACTGCGCAATAATAAGTAGTACTGCTCAATAATAAGTAGTACCGCGCATTTATGCAAGGGTGCGGACATGCTTATTACAAATGCCTCTCGTGTCGACCAACATTGCGCAGTTTGGTTTCATTTCGGTTTGTCCATGGCCAACTAGGCGGCATTTTTGGTCATTTGGACGATCCTCTCACGTCGCGTTCAGTCAAACAATGTGTCTGACGACACAATAATTAGTGGGATATTATTGCATCGCTCATTTTAGGACCCATTTAAACGTGGTTCGTTTAACAGTGGCAACGATTCAGTAATGTGAATGGAAGTTTTGCCTCTATCGACTCTACTGTGAGCTGTTTTGACATATAAAGTTATTGCATTTAGAGCGGTTTTGGCATATAAAATTATGGCATTTACACAAGAATATATTCATTTTAGTTATATATTTTTCATCATTTCAGTAGCAACGATTCTGTAATGTAAGTTGAAGTTTTGTCTCTATCGACTCTACTGTGAGCTGTTTTGACATATAAAATTATTGCATTTACACAAGAATTCATTCATTTTAGTGATATTTTTTTATCATTTTAGCGATAACTTTCTTCTGCGAGTGTTATGGCTCAATGTGTTAAAGGTCGAGCCTCGTAAATTTTTTTCTGCATGGCTGCTCCGCTTTATCATTGCGCTGGCATTTCCGTTGAGTTACTGCGGCGCCATCTTTTGCTGCCATTTTTGAGGTATAAAGACAGGCTCGTCGAGAGCTTACTCATATT